AGATATTGTGTGTGTGTGTGTGTGTGTCGTAGAGTTCCAAGGAAGAGAGTCTACAAAAACAAGAAGTCTTTACAGTTGGAACGAAAGACTTTCAGTGGGTATCATTCCCATCTTTTTGCAAAGAAAAACATCTAAACCCAAAGGATCTTAGCTCCCAGAGCCAGACTGACCATTTACATAAAGGACAGGGCCAAGCAGATAAACTGAAAAGTTTACCTTCTACAGCTGAGAAAACATGCTGTGTAACTATTACAGATCAGGCCAAAAATATGGTTGGGGAAGACACAAAAGAGATTTCAAAACTGAATGTAAGTCCTAAATCATGTAAACTCACTCAATACGGAAGTTCTACACACCACTTGGCATTGTCGCAAAGCTCTGCAAAAGCTTTTAGCTTTCAACAGCACTGCAGAGGGACAGTACAGAACAGCAGGGAAATCAGAAAAGAAAATGATAGGAAAGAGCTTCAAATACAAACGCATCAAGGGAACATTTCATTTGGCGAGGCCGGATATGTGCCTGCAGAAAAGAAGCCACCTCCTGGGAGCATACCTGGAACTGAAAGCTGCGAGGAGAAGACTGAAAATCAGAGTGAAGGATCTTCAACTCTTGACAGTTGTCCGATGTGTCTGATTCATTTTAGTGGAACGTAAGTTGGGTTTTGTTTTTTTTTTTTTAATAACGTCACAGTACACAAAACTCAAAATGGTTCTGGATGCATTCTCTATATACAAAATAATGAAAATAGACAAAACTTCTACTGTAAAAGAGTTTTTAAATTACTGTAATGTGGGCAGTGGGGAGGGTCACATCACAATCACAAGAATAGCCCTCCAAAAAAGGAAACTGAAAGCAGATGAGAAAGCATCCTTCCTCTATGAGAAATGTCCTGTTTCCTGTATCCTCCAGTTGGAGTTGCATGTGGAATAAGGTACTGGTTTTCTATCCTGTATCAATAACCTAATGTTTCCAAGGACAGCATTATTTGTCCTGAGCATACGGAGTGTGAGCATTGTCTTCTCGTAAATGACATTATCAAACTATCTAGCAGCAGGTAATAGCAACTACAAGAGCTTGTGGCAGATTGCAATGCTTCTGAGCGTAGGAGTGACTTACCCATTAAGCTTCTAGAGCACTTCTGCTATTGCTTAGGAAATGAGGGAGTGAAGGTGAGGAATAGTGTAAATAAGAGGATTTGACTTTTGTTTCTCACTGAACAAATTCTCTGTATTTGCAGACTGTCACAACTGGATATTGATGGCCATCTTGCCAGGTGCTTGTCTGAAAGCGCAGACGATGTAATGTGGTAAATCCAGAAGAATGAAGATCAAAGGAACAAGGCCAAGGATGAACCTTTCTCAAAGGAAAAGGAAAAGCGTGTCAAGGAAGGACATCTTTGTTGCGAACATGCTTAAGGATCACAAACCAATAACTCAATCGATGGTCAAGTGCTACCTGCCTGTTTGGGGTCTTTTTATTTTGAATGATCTCAAATGCATGTAAAGTAGTTCTAGCTCTGAAAATGGTGCTACAGGATGTCCCAGAGACCCCCAGGGAAATCAGTCTTGGCACTCCTGGAATCTGGGTACTTCTGAAAAAAGAATGTACTGTTGTAAATCGCTGAAGAACCTGTTTTGTCTGATGCACCATAGTTGTTCTGAATCTCTAAGTGTAGAAGAAAGCAGCTGAACAAAATATAACTATTATTTAATCTAATCCAAAAGTTTACTGACCTCTTTTTCTTCTAAACAGGCAATCTGTGAAAATAAGCTTAATTAAAAAGTCATTCAAGCTTATCATTTTTCATGATTTTAATACCTAAGCAAGAACTTATACTCACAGAATCAACTGTACAATCATAAATCTATGTTAAAACACAACCCAGACCAAGTAAAGGGTGTGGTTTTTTCATCTTTCTGAAGGAACACAGCTAAATTCATAACCTTCCTTTGTAGGTTTCTTAGTCAGTATCCACTTGGTTAACATGACTGCTCTCAGCTAACTAGGGTCCAGAAAGAGTACTTCTCCTGCCGCTTTCACAAGGTTCAATACAGTCAGCCAGCCAAAGCAGCTGCTTTTTGTATCCATCCCAACCCTGCCCACTTAGAAACCATCAATGTTTGCAAATAAAGAACACCTGAGAGTTTGTTTTGGCTAGAAGGTATTCAGAAGACTCACCTGCCATTTTGGTAACTTCTTAATATTAGCAGGTAAGCATTTTGTAAGCTTGAGAAAAGCAACCTTTTCCAAGAATGACAGTAAGTGACATTTAGCGACAGGTTAGTACCAACAAATGGAAGGGATGACATGAACTGGAGCAGGTTGTTCGTTTCCCCCGCGTACAGTTAATGTTTACTGACCAGGGTACCCTGCTCGTGCCGTACACCACGTCTCCCATCGCAGCCCTACACTCCAAATCGGTTCCTTGTCGACGGGCCACGTGCGAGAGTAGCACCATTGTGCCCGTTCAGCTCTTCCGATCGCAGCTGCCTTTGCATGCAGGGAAGAGTGCAAATCAGCTTAACAAACTTCAGTACCTGAATGGTTTTTTCTCTCTCGGCAAACCTCTGCCCTGGAGCGCAAAAAGGTACAGTTCGGGTGTGATCCAGTGACACAGGAGAAACATGGAATACAGTATCAAAACACTGGAAGAATCCTATAGATGTAATTTACAGTGGGGGCTCTTAAAGAGTGCAAGTTCTAGATAGCTCAGTTTACTGACAAATAATAACAGTCTATTAACTTTTTCATTAAAGTCTTTAATAGATGTGCAAGAATATAAATGATCTTAGCTGTTACGGATTAGTATACCATCTTCTGCACAATTAAAACTGGTCAGCAAAGATCCCAACTAATTAATTATACAAAACTACAAGAACATATTTACTGTTTTACAATCATTAAATTAGCTAGAATTTTTATTTACTATTTCAAATAAGACAACTATATATCATTACCAGATCCATTTGTAATATATTAGGATTTTTTTTTTCCAAACCACACATTTAATTACATCCTTCATTTTCTTTTATTTATAAAACAAGTACTTTATATAAAAAATTTCCCCTTCATCATGAACAGAACATTATTCAAACACTTGCACATGAGCAACCAAACTGGTATCCAGCAAACTATTTGGCAACACAGCGACATTGTAAATGCCTGTAAATTTTAAAATAAAAATCAAGTAGTCTTTACAATGTTTGTTTAGCAAATGTGTCTTTCTGTTCTTCCTTCCCTCCCTCCCAAAATGTTCTGAAACCTAGAAAAAAGGTTAAAAAAAACCCCCAACCCACATTTCTAATATTTCCATTTTAAAGTCCTATGCCCTAGCATGTCAAAGGACAGCTTAACCTGTCATATTTCCATTCATGAGCTGCCTGCACTCACTCTTCTAACTATTAATTAGTTTTATTACCAGGGGAGTTGAAAACACTGAAAGAAGAATTGTTCAGGGTAAATAAAGTAATTGCCAGGGAGAAGGGAAAAAAGGAGTACTTAAAAAATGTCAGATCACATTTAAAAGGTAAATGTTTCCTTTAGTAGATAATAAAGTATCTAAAGTCCAGGCATTTGAGGCAAGTACTTCTTACTGGTTAAATTACGTAGTGCTGATTAAAACATATTTTGCTTAATATGAAAAGCTACAGTCCAACGGAGAGAAACCCACAACTTAAATCTGAATGGGATTAATATAACTAAATAACCACAGGTCTGCATAATTGTGGCTAATGAGGGGATACAAAATGTAGATTGTTAATCAATGATTAATTGAAAATTTTAAACAATGTTTTGGCAGTCTCGTCCTAGCACCTCATGACTTGGATGTGAATCCGAAAGATGTCATGTTCAGCACCTAATGCAATGCTGTACCCTGAGAAAACCATATGTTAATGTAAAGAAAGTGAAAGCGTTGCAATTTATCCTGCATTTTACACCAAATTAGGTGAGATGTCATGGCACAGGGTTTCTCAATTTTTCCTTCCCACATGATTTTTTTCCCCTATCTCTACAACCCACACAGTATAGTTAAACCAAAATCTAGCAAAAAGAAATACTGCCTCTGCTGCTGTTACTTATGGAGGCAGGAACATCTTCACAAGCACCTGAAGTTTCAGATAGCAATGCGCACTTACTAATCCTCAAATGTAGCAACGTGAGCTTTTCCAAGCTGCTAAATTGTTAACCTTTTTTGTGTAATAAATCCGTCCCCCCACCCCCTTTCCACGAGAAGGGATTTGAATGTTATCTTTTGCTTTACCCAATTTCTTAAGATACTCATTTTTCTTCCATTAAAAAAATTTACTAGTTTGATGCAAATTGTTTTACCAAAACATCCCGTTCTCTTATGTAGAATGATTAGTTATTAATATACACTGCGTAATTGTAAGCAGACAGTTTATCATAAGTAGGAGGTGTGCTTTATCAGGAAAGTATATTTTATATTATGGTTATTCTAGATTTACTATTTAAACTTTAAGGCTATGCTTTAGTACGCTTTTGCTCTATTCTGGATATTTGTATTGTTGATAAAAATACTTTTCAAAAATCTAATATATAACACAACATCATTGTAGGTGTAGGCACTGCTTAAGTGTTTTCAGAAATCCTTTGTGTGCAAATTTAGTTTTCTTCAATCTAGACATTTTGGTAAATTTGGAGTTTAAAACAGATTTTGAAATTGATACTGTAAATTCTCATTTGGAATTAATATTGCTGAGTCACTCTGCATTTCAAATTCTATAAAGAAACAAATGAACATTAGGCTGCAGCTGTGAACCGTATGTTTCATATGTAAATGGTTACTTAGTATTAACAAGCAGAACTTACCAGGTTTAAGAACGTTCCAAATATGTAATAATTCTTCAATGCAGTTTATCCATTTAGGCACTTAAATCTTGTACCCAAATTTATGTTTTGATTGCTAATAAAACACAACTCCTTTTAAATATATCTGAGACGTTTAGACAGGTACCACTTGTGAAAAAAGGCATCAAAAATAAGCTTCAACACCACCGTAATATATTTTATTCTTCAGGATGTTACACTGCAATATTCTTCAATTGGTAGCTCATTGCATCAACTGTTTGCAGAAAGTGTGTAGACCTCAAAGTTGTTCAGAATCTCCTTTTCCAGGGATGCAATGAACGTTTCAATCCTTCATGAAACAGGCACAAAATGCAAATTCCTTCATTAATGAAGCCAGTTGTGTCAGTGCCCAGAACTTAAGAATCACTAAGTGGCAGAAGACACCCACCAAAATCATTATTCTCTTCTTTGATTTTCAGCAGCAATTTTTTTTTAATCATTGGTCTCCATCCAAAATCTTAACAGTTCCCCAGCCTCGCATGCATATACTGTAGTTAAGGATAAATTTAAATGTCATTCACATTGTCCACAACGAAGATGTCATTCCTTCATACTGTTTCTTCTGTTGACAGCAACAATGGATTAATATATTCAAATCCTTCAAATTCTGACTGATCTATTCGCTTTATTATATCTCTGAAAAACAAATAAAAGCATTTTTAGTTTGATCAATTGCAAATACTATTTTTGTTGCTGTACTTCTTCTTCAAAGAACAACAAAATACCTTATAGAAATGTATGTATATGAAGTTGTACAGAAGCAACAATAAATGGGAAAAAAAAAAAGAAGTCTCTGAACATACAAATACTTAACACTAATGTTTTGTCCCAATATCTAAAGCAATATGGCTGGAAAATTTGAAACATCTGATAAGAAGTTTCTCCTGCCCTTCCAGTTAGGCAACATGCATACTTATAGGGCCCCAAAAGAAGCATATAATAAACGACTGTTGTTTCATAATGCGAATTTACAAAGAAGAAAGATAGTTTGCTGTCAGCAAGGGCTGCTAATGTTATATGTAAGATAAATACTACAAAAGAGTCAAGCACAAAGCTAATACTTTTTAAAAAATACATATTGTGTGCACAGGAAATCCAAGGAAAGCCCTATGAATTGGTGCATATAAAAGAGAATTTATTTTAAGATGCGCTGTTCATAAAACTTCCCACTATAGGTGCGCATACACTTGCTATTTGTAATTTTGTTGTCAAGCAGAACCTGTAAAGCACAAATACGCCTTGCAATTCTTTGGTGTCACACAGAAACAATAACTGAAGCACTTCATGCTTTGGTTTCCATTCAGCTGTTCACTTCATATACGCTGGACTCTTGAGGAAGAGAGAACAGGTTGTGAACTATGGATCTACAGTACATAGGTAACACTTCTACAGAATTCAAGCTTGAGCACCTAGGCACGCAAAGATCCTCAGTGAAATCTCCAAATACATAATTACTTGAGGATGAAGACCTGCCACCCAAGAATGCAGCAAGAGAAAGACCCTGCAACAGTACATTTATTGCCACTGGAATAGACTCAACAGATTGCTAGTTATAGGGTTCATTTTTACAATCACAGATTGAATCAACATAACATTTATTTGTACAAATAAAAATGCCCTGAGCAACTAGCTAATCCTGAGGGTTGACCTAGGATTAGCAGGCACTTTACGAAAGAGGCTCTGAAACGGTGTTGGTCTGCCTTTCAGAGCAGTTTAGCTCTGTTGTGTAGCAACAAAGAGGGAAAACTGATAGAGCAGTTAGGCTGGAACGTGACAATCTTGTGCCTTTAATTAGGAAAGCCTTTGGATAGCATGCAACAGCCTCTGCTTGCCAACAAGGCATCCAACTACATGCAGTACTTCAGACAGCATCTAAGAAAGTAGAAATCCCAAATCCATTATTAAAATCCCAGTTCCAGAAGCAATACTTTAGAATGAGCTTCATTAAACATCTGATTAGACCCAAATATTCATTCTAGAACACCATCAATCAGTAGCTCTACAGACTTCAGTTAGAAATTGTAAATGCAAAGCACTGGAAATTTATGAAATACATTTTCTTCAAACATGAGACCAGTGAACAGGACAACAGGCTGAAAACATTTGGAAAAGAATGCATTATAGTTTTCAGCAGCAGGCATCTAGTCAGATAAGGAAAACCAAACGTAAATAAACGAAATATGCTGGGAAAATATAAGTGTATAACATGCAAACAAACCTTTGCTGCTCTCTCACAGTAAAGCTCACCTAAAAATCCCAGCTGCACAGATTTCAGGATTCTGAATCTTAAGATTTTTAATAAACCCAAAATCTCCTTTGATTCATTTTACTTCTGTATCAACGTGCTAAATAAGCAGCAGAAAGTTTCATTGTATTTTTGATAGAATTGCACAAAAATTTCAACACACCACACACACTACTATGCTCCTTCATGAGAAACAATATTTAAAAGTTCTTAAAAGGGTGTATTCTAAGCGCCATCTGACATTAGTTTCACACACTCAAGCCTTGAAAGAAAAAAGCACCTTGGGAAAAAAAGAATGGACCCCCCCCCCGAAGTGTTGCATTCCTCAGCAATTAGACACTAGGATTCTCACACCGACGCGTTTGGCTCACCCTCCACCCCTAGCTCTGAAAATACCTTTGTCATCAGACATACGCTACGTGCCTCAGACAAATGAAGTCAACAAGACTGTTCTTTAACATTTTCCCCCACTGCATGGAGCTTCCTCTTGTTTTTCCAAAGGAAGTTCAACTTCCAGTTTAAAATTTTTACACTTCAGCAAACCCTCAAAACAGTGTACAATTATTCTCTTAAAGAGTTTGGGCAAGCTAAGTCTCCTATCTACCTACCAAAACTATAGCCTGTCATCTTATATGCCACCTTGTATCTGAAGGAACTTTCTTCCTTCGTGTACAGCAATCACTCCTCAGCCTTCAAATTCCTTTATTAAGGCATACTTTTTCTCCCTGAAAAATTTTTCCACAGTACATTTAAATAATAGCTCTCTGTAAAATTTTCCTGCTGTCTCAAGCTTATTCTGAGACCCAAGGAGTTGTGCGTCAATTGTTTCTCCCGAGTACAGAAATGAGAGCTCCTGGGTCGGGAATCAAATTTCTGACTCTTCTTTCAGTGCCAAGCACAAGCTCAACAGAAAACCAATACTGCATTCTGAACTTTTATTAGAATACTAGGCAGTCTTCTAATACCTAAGAAGTATGATAAGTTATGCAAGATATGTAGGATAAAATAAATTTCAAATTTATTTTAACTTGACTACGCTCTAATGCTAAGTACATAGTCTATTCTCAGCAATTTTCAAGTCATCTATAAATTAATTTCCTAACATGCAATTGTATTTGGGGAAAAAGAAAAACATACTCATCATCTGGGGTTAGCTGCACAGGTTCGCTGGTGAACTGTGTATCAAAGTTATCCAAACCATAATCATCTGTGATCTGAGGCTGAAATGGAGGGGTTGCTTGCTTCTTTTCCAGCTAAGAAAAAAAAAAGGGGGGGGGGGGGGGGGGGGGGGGAAAAATTAAAATATTGCATTTTTACAAAATCCCCTAGGAACATCAACATGCATTGGCTCTAGAGTACATGAACAGAAAAGTCACTATAGTTGAGCTTAATATCGGTGGAAGATATAAACATGTTAAATACAATCTGACATTAAGTTTTAGACTAGTAGATTTTGACACTAAATGGTATATGCTCATCCTGTTTATCCTATTGCTGTGTTTTAAATATAAAAAATTTAAAAATTATCAGAAATTAATAAAATTTTAAGTTTAAGACGACAGAAAAAGCTGTTTCCCAAGCCTCTTGCCTATATATTAAGAAAAAACATTGTTGCTCTATACATCTGGCTCAACAGTTTTTAAACTGAGAACATACTCCAGAAGCTGTCCATTCAAGCCAAGATGCTTTCCCAGAATATAACTCATTTTTCCCTTTTACAAACGCCTCTAAAGTTGCCTCTTGTAAAGGCAGCCTCTTAGATTACATCAAATCAACGTGACCAGACTTGTTTGTTAATGTTAATTCCAGCACAGAACAAAAAAGTAAGCAATATTTATGTCCCGATCAACCGCTAGCCACGTGGGTAAGCAATCATTAAAAGCAAGTAGTGCGAATCAACAAAATAGCTAAAGCAGCCCAGAATTTTATTCTGCAATTAAAATGTAACCATGAATACATTTACATACACTACTTCCTGCTACAGGAACTGGAAACCCATATTCATCTTCCTCACCAGGGTCAGTCAATAAAACATGGGATTTCTTTTTTTTTTTTTTAAACTCAAATAATGCTGTTGTAGTCATTAAGAACCTCTTCTCATTCGCTACACCAGTAGCATGTTCAACAGTATCTACGCTTTTCTGATTCAGGCAAATCCCTACTATCCTCCAGAGTTACTAGACTGCTTTTATCACAGGTTTGTGATACAGGAGCTGATGACAGATTAAACGTTATTATTTGTTTAAATCACTACCCACAGCAGTTCCAAAAAAGGTGCAAGAACTATACCTTTTTAAGCTTGTTTTCAAGTAGTCACAGTTCCAGGCCCAGTGGAAAATCACAGATAGGAGTTTTAACTTTTGGAAGCTGGTGGAAGCCTGAGCAACTGATCCAGCTGATAACTGGAAACCAGTGTATCAAAACCAGTCAATAATCAGGTTTTGCCGTTTTGCACGGCCAGCGAAGTTCTTGCCAGCTACATCACCACAAATGACAAGTAATACTATCATGTTTTCTGCGTTACATCTATCATATTACTGAGTCTCCCAGTCGAAATATTACCGAATAGGAAGCATCTTAAATTACAATAAACCAATGGAGCTCTTGTAGAACTATGAATTATTCGAATTGATTTATACTTCTCACGTTTTTCCTGAGGTTATTAATTATACACTACTCACTTTTGTGAACAGAATCCTCTTCCTCATGACTTGCAATTTCACACTGCACCCTAATATAAATGCTGTCTAACAAACCAAAGAAAGCTCTCTTCTGCTTCATAAAGAGAAAGAGGGAAGGAAAAAAGATCTCAAGTGCAACGTATTATTTCAATTGATGCTTGAACTCACTGGTTGCAAACCAGCATTAGCTGCCTCTCTCCCAGCCATACAGTCTGGGGAACGTTCAAACCGGTTCTTTCACATACTAAGCAGACCATGCAAGAGCCAAGCAATAGCTACTGCTCAATTCCTTCATACAAGCAAACAAGCTACTTCAAAGCATTGTATTCTGGAAAAATCAGTAACAGGTAAACAATACAGCTTAACATCAAAGACAGGAACTTAAATAATAAAAACAGTGCGAACTGAAGTGCATTGATAACACGCAACCAGAACAGCTAATTTTTCAAGCACTTTTTAGTCTCACTAGAAATCCACAGCATTTCAAAGACATTACATTGCTTAACACATGATTTTAGTTAAGTTTGTTCTACAAACATCTGTGTGTTTAATGGAAAGATGCTTGACCAAATACTAATGTCCATAGTTGTCAATACGCTGAGGTAATGCCTTACGCTACAAATACGTACTTCAGGGATGGAATATGACAAAGGCAACGAAGAATCTATTAACTCTAGAGGAGAGTTACTTATGAAAAAGTGTAACATTTTAAGAGTGTGAACTGTACCTTTATGCATTTCTAATGCCTCACTAGTTAGAAATAGTAAGAAAACCAAAATGTCTGTGTGCTACAGTAAGTGATGACAGAAAAATAGTAGAACTAAAACCAGTTAATACTATCTTCCATCCTAAATACAAGATCCTCACATCTACATATTAAGGAGAGGTATGGCAAAACTCTTTATGGGCAAAGAGGCCACTGAAGAAGTATTAGCTCAGTAAGTAAAGAATCATCACATTCACTAAGCATTAAGTAAGAAAATGTCATACACTGAAATCTAAAATTAGCTCACAAACTGACAATAAAAATTCATAGAATCATAGAATATCTCAAGTTGGAAGGGACTCATAAGGATCAGAGTGCACAAAATTACAAGCAACTGATTTAGGTTTTCCTGAATACTCTAGATTTACTCGCTATTGTGTGGCCATTTGGTCTGAGAAAATCTATTTCTTTAAAAGAAGCTGCTACAGTGACTGTGGACACTCACCTGGATTGCACTGAAATGAGTACTTTAGAAATATGCAGCTCTGAGTTCTGGCCTTAGCTTTCCCAAATCCCACACAATACTGACCACCGTACTTCCAGCATTTTCTCACATCCAACATCCTGCATCTCCTCTGCCTCCTCTCCCATGACCACATGTCCAGCTCTCCCCTTTTTTCCACCCCGGGCTACTCCAGAAACATAGGTTGTTGACTACCAACCAAGACAAGTGTCCTGATGAGACAGCTGCTTTTGAGACAGAACAGATAAAAGCTGAATTCCCCTGTGTTCCCCCGCTAGGGAACTAAATCGGTCTCGTCCACCAGAATGCTCATTTTCACATAAAACAGAACAGAGTGTCTTTGAGATCCGCCTGCCTTCAAAATAAGCAAAAGCTGATGAAACAGCTTAGAACTTATTAGGGTCGTAACTGGCAAATGAGCAGTACAGCGTGGAAGTCCCTCTTCCTTCACAAATATATTAATACCACCATTGCTGTAACATGAGCATTTGAAGGGAGCTATATTAAACCCTTCAAATGGAGGCTCCATTTGACTGAATGGAATCGAGACCAATTTCAACCTATACAAAATCATAGAAGCTGGATCAATCTCCCTTTCCCGATCTATCATCTTTCTCTTATAGCTCAATATGGAACACTCGGAAGGTATCACTGGAAGTTTAGTTCCCAAAGCATATACAACTACGTCATATATTCCAAACACTAAAACATATGCATCAATACAGTAAAAGGCAGGAAGATAAATCCGACATTTTCAACTTGCCATTCAGAAAGTTTTTAATTAAAAGAATTTTAAATGGCTAAATCCTACAAACCAACTGGCTTATGTATTTACTTCCGTATCGGTGAACTCTCAGAGGTGAACACCAAGTCTTAGGAATTTGGAGGTTCAGGCACAATTGCAACACATGGACCTTGGGAGTCCTGCAAGAAATGTTAAGATTACCTAGAAAATTCACCTTTGTCTCCAAAATGTCAATGCTTATTATTTATTTTTTAAATATTTGATTGAATCTCCTAATTTTTCTATTCAAAAATTCTGCCATTGTCTCTCACGCTCCAAAATTATTTTAGGACCCAACAGTGGCACTTCTTGTTAGCCACACAGACTGAGAAAACATAGTTTCATTAGAAACCCAACTTCAAAAGGATAACCAGCATGCTTGTTACAGAGCAAGGCACAGCAAATGATTAAACTGGCAATTAAATACACCATCTCAATGAAGATGCTAGCATATATTGCCTCATAAAATGTGCTTTTTTTATCAATTGCAGTTCTACTTTTTTATAATTATAGATGCTAGTAAATTTTGTGTCTTTTGTAAAAAGCACACAATTCTTGTAGCAACACTCAGCTGTTACTGAACATGAAAGAAAGTGAAAAGTTTAATTTGGCCCAGATTGCCAATTTAGCAATTGTTACAATCACAACTATATTATACATAACAGATAGCCATATATTTTCATAATTCTTCTATTTATGGCCATCTAAAATGCCAATTCTGCAAAATGTTTGCTTAATTGGTATGCTGCAAAGCTCTTTTAATTTAAGACAGCTCTGACTACATACACCAGTCTTGCACCCATAAATGGATTCGAGTCATTACTTTGCCCATAGAAGAAAATGATAGAAGCGTTTGAGATAAGAATGCAAAAAGAATGGTGTGAACCCTGATTTTCAGTGTTGGCACATATATCTCTTAACAGCCTTTCTGAATAACGCTTATAACACGTTTGCCAGCACTGCTATTTTCAGAGCGGAGCTTTCGAGCTACATTCTTTGCTGCCATGGTTGTTCGAAGTGGTCTTACAAAACACTAGGGATTTCCTATGTGTGATACAGTTAGGAATCTGGTTTTTCCATTTAACATTAGTGAATTAAACATTAATTACAAGAACAAAGGAAAACAAGGTAAATAAATCCAGGCTTCCAATACTAAGAGAGCGTGCTTGTCACTATCGCATGTCTTTTTTGTTCAGTGGGTCACCTAAGCAGAAATTACAAGACCTTAAACAGGATCAGCATCCCACTGTTACAGGCTTTGTGGGGAAAAAAAAAAAATCTCAGAGCTGTATCAGAACAGAGGTACGAAACTTCTTGCATGGATCCCCTTGCAGTGAGAGGGGGCATGCTCGGGCAGAATTGCAGGTGACACAGCAAATGGAAGGAGGGATAGCTGTAAATTCTGGGTAACACTGCATAACTTATGACAGGTGACGTTCCTA